TCCCTGACGACCCGTTAGCGTCCCTTGCGCGACCCTCCGCGCACCGATAGCGACCAAACAGCAAACGTTTAGCGAACAATCATTTTAGGTCGGGCCTCCTCGCCCTGCTCGCACATGGGCTGCAGGACCACCCGGGCCGGGGCGGACGCACGTAGGTGCTGAATGGGGCACCCTGGTTGTTACTAATACACGGCAGAAAACCTCTACGGCCCATTGTTGTTGTTGTTGTTGCTGCTGCTGCTGGCAGTGACCTGATGTATGGCGGTGGAAGCCGGACGCGGGCGGCGCGGAGGCGGTAGCCTGGTGCCGCAGCCTGACCCGCGCCGCCCATACGCGTCCCAAAGGGCATCACCTCCACGGCCCCGACCGGATACAAAGTGCCGGTCAGCCGCACTCCCACCACTTCTCGCTCGCTCTCTCTCTCTCTAGGACGGGACAGAGATAGCACACCCGCGAGGCGCAAAGACTCGTTTCCGCAGGGCATTCCGAGAAGCGCGCAAAACCTGCAAAAGGAAGCAAGAGGCGCGGCGGGAAAAGAGAGAAAATAAGAAGAAGTGAGGAAAAACAGGGCCGCCTTTTGCGCTCGCGGTCCCGCTTCGCTCGGCCAGTCAGTCGCTTTCATTGCAAGAAAAGGCGTCGCCGTCGTTCGTTATTTGCGAATCTAATTTCTCGTGGGGTTCTTTGTTGGGCGCGACGACAGTCGCCGTCGGCGGCGGCGGTGCCGTCAGCCGAGCGAGGGTGGGTCAGTCGACTGACCAGATGGCGCCGGGAATTTTAATTTTGCAAAAAATTATTTTTGGCAAATTCTTCAAGAATATTTAATATGAATATCTCGTATCTTTTTAATTATTTTAATTTGTTCCAAACCTTCTGGAAATATCAAAAATTTTTCGTGTTTTTTTCTCTGGGGAAGTTTCTAAGTTTTTCGAAAGAAGTCAAAATCCCTACGTAGCGCGCACACCCCAGGTTCGAGTCCAGTGGCACCCCCAGAGACCTCCGCTCCCCGGTACCCCCACACCGTCGGTGTCCCGTCGAGGGCCGCACCGCCACCCGGCACCGCCACGACGACAGTCGTGCCCGCGAGACACGCCGCCTTTCCCATGATGCACCGCCGTGCGGTCTGTTTGAGGTTGGGGCGAGAAGAGTTGGCTGCTGCAGTGGGAAGCAGGCCACACAACAACTGCAAGGGAAACGACTTGCTGCTGCAGTTCCAGAGGAGGCGCCTGCGCACTTCCCGCCGCCGCCTGCTCCTCGGCCGAAGGGAGATCCACGACCGAAGTAAGGTTCGGGGAGCTCACGAAGCAAGGGCGTGAGGGCACGTCGCAGCAGCAGCAGCAGCAGGTGAGACTGGGAATGGGGACCACAAAGTTCCACAGGGCTGCCTGCCATCACTGCAGTCGCTGCCCAAAGTTGTGTATCGGTCGCCCGCAGAGTTTTGGCCAAAGTCCAACGGGGGGTAATTCCAGGAGCAAAGGCAGTTTATAATGATTACATTATATACCGCACGACGCCGCCAGGGCCGCAGGGAGTGCGCAGGCGTTATTCGCACATGCCAATTTCCAGGAATAACCGTTCAATAGCGAGACCTATTTTCCCGCGCGCAGGTCTTCGCGGGCCGTTCGCTTCGCTGTTCGTTCCCAGCAGCTGCCGCACCCCGCGCATGACCCGGTCAATTCTCTCTATCCCTCTCTCTCTCTTTTCCTCGAGATGACAATGGAACCGGTCTGCAGACAGAGAGGCCTACTCTAGTGAGGCGTACCGACAGACGTACGCCTGTAGGCCTCGCCCCGGCCCGCCCCGCCCCGGTCGAGCAGGCCGCTCTGCCTGGCTTTGCTGCTGCTCCTGGCCAAGATTTATGAACTGACCTTCGATTCGCCGCGAGGAGGCCTGGCTGGCAGGGTTGGGCGGCGTGGCGTGGCGCGGCCGCGCGCAAGATCGTGAACGTCTAAGACCCGTCCCGCCCGGCCCAACCCCGACATGACTGACACAGTTTGATGGGCCCGCGTTAGTTACGACCAGCTCAGAGTGAGCAGTACACACACCCGCCTCGAACTCGAACCAGGGGAACCGTTTCCCTTATCGGTGGCAGTAAATTGTAAACCTTGCGACATTTTGCGTCGTCCACGACGGTTCACGAACACAATATTCGCCCACAATTTTCTCGCAGCTTCGTGCACCGCAGCGCCACCGCGACCCCCACGGGCTCCCTGCATGCTGACACACTTCTGGCGCACATCATACAGTGCGCACCTCTGCACTCCGCCAAAGACCAACAACAACGACAACAGCCCGCGCGGGAAATGTCAGTATAAAAGTAAGAACTGCAGGGAAAGGTACTGGCCTAATGTCCTTTAGAACGCCGTGAGCAGCCTCTTTCGAGCGGAAATGTTTGTTTACACAGGACAGCGGCTGGAACTCCAGGTCTAGAACAGAGCCTGGAACTCCAGTTCCAGAACAGAGCCTGGAACTCCCCCCAAGCACCTGCAGTTCTCCAGCCCCAGCAGTTCTCCAGCACCTGCAGTTCTCCAGCGCCTGCGGTTCTCCTGGACCCCCGCACACACGCGGCTGATTCGCGCTGCTTTCCAAGAGACGGCCGCGCCGCTCGGAATTCATCATCATGTCGTCCACCGAGTACCGAGTGGCGGCGGCGCGGCGGCAATCTCGATTCCAATCTGAATGACGGACTACCGGACCAGGAGGGAGGGTACCGGAGGGTACCACACTCACAAAAACACTCTTCAAAAAAATCAGAAAAAAATCATTTAAAAATCAG